TTTTAATTTATTGTAGAGATGAGGTCTTGCCAAGTTGCCCAGGCTGGTCTTGAACCCTCAGGCTCAGGCAATCCTCTCACCTCGGCCTCTCAAAGTGCTGGGATTATAGGCATGAGTCACCACACCCAGCCAATTCATTCATTTTCATTGCTGAGTAATAAGCGTTTCATTGGATGAATGTTACACAATATGTTACCCATTCACCTGACAATGGGTACTTAAGTTGTTGAGTTTTTAGTTATAATGTACAAAGTTGCTATACCACTCTTGTCTGGGTCTTTGTGTGGGCTTCTACTGCCACTTTTCTTGAGTAGATACCTAAGAGAAGAATGACTGGATTGTATGGTAGCTGTGTATTTAACTTTTTGAGAAATTGCCAAACTGTTTTCCCAAGTGTTTGTACTGCTTACATTCTCACCACCAGTGTAGGACAGTTATAGCCAGTTCACATTCTTGACAACACTTGGTAGGTCGGTCTTTTAATTTTAGCTTTTTAGTGGGTATGCAGTGGTATCTCATTGTGTTTTAGTTTATATTTCCCCGATAGTCAAGGTGCATATTTTCTTTCTTTTCTTTTCTTTTCTTTTTTTTTTTGACAAAGCAGGATTTATTGAGGACAGAAAAGCTCCCACAGCGGGAAGGGACCCAAAGAGGTTACCCCAAGGAGCATCTTTTCATGTACTTATTTGCCATTTATGTCTTCTTTGGTGAAGTCTGTTCAAAATTTTTGTTCATTTTTTAAAATGTGTTTTTTGTCTTCTTTTGAGTTGTATATATATTTATTATATTCTAGATACAAAAATCTTTGTTCTTTGTATATTCTAAGTACATAAAGAAGTTTTAAAAATATATTCTAGGGGCTGGGCACAGTGGTTCAAGTCTATAATCCCAGCACTTTGGGAAGCCGAAGCAAGAGGATTGCCTGAGTCCAGGGGTTTGAGACCAGCCTGGGCAAATTGGTGAGACCTCGTATTTACAATAAATCAAAAAAATTCGTGTGGTGGCACATGCCTGTAGTTCCAGTTACTTGGAAGGCTGAGGCAGACGGATCACCTGGGCCCAGCAGGTCAAGGCTGCAGTAGTTGTGAGCATACCACTGCACTACAGCCTGGACAACAAAGTGAGACTCCAACTCAAAAAAAAAAAATTGAAAGCCAGGCTTGGTGGCTCAGCCTGTAATCCTGTGCTTTGGGAGGCTAAGGTGAGTGAATTGCCTAAGCCCGCGGGTTCGAGAACCACCTGAGCAGCTTGGCGAGACCTCATCTCTACAATAAATTAAAAAATTAGCTGGGCGTGGTAGCATGCACCTGTAGTTCCAGCTACTTGGAAGGCTGAGGTGGAAGGATCGCCGGAGCCCAGAAGATCAAGGCTGCGTGGCTAGGAGCTTGCCACTGCCCTCCAGTCTGGGCGACAGAGTGAGACTCCAACTCAAAAAAAAAATTAAAAATATATGTATACATATATATTTTCCAGGCTGGGCATGGTTGAAAGAAGTTTTGGGGGCACCCAGTAACGACTCCACGCCGTCTGAACTGAGAGATTTATTAAAGGGGCAGTTACACGAAGGGACTGTAACCGAGGAAGGACGAGAGAGAGAAAAAAAGAGAGAGAGACCGAGAGAGAAAGAGAGCAAGAGAGTAAGAGAGTGGCGGGGACAGAGA